GCCTCTATGGGTTTAATGCCGAAATGTGAATATCTTGTACGTAATTTTATGCTTTCAACCACAAATATTTTGTATGTAATTTTATACTTTCTGAGTAAAGGTATGTTTTTTTAGATATATATTTTGTAGGGTATAAAATGTATTTTTGGTAATGTATTTTTTTAATATTTTTTAGTGTTGCCTTGGTTCTAATGCTGCTATAAAAATGTATTGTTGGTCATTTTATTATAAAAATGTACTGTTGATTTTTGTTTGGTGTTCACTGCTGGGGCCCTGACAGGTGCTACCACCCTGTGTCAGGGTAGACTTAGGAACAACAGCAATTAAAAGGTGGTGCCACTCTCCTCAAAATCTCCAATCTCCCGATCAGAGGCATATCTCCTACTATAAAGATCTCCATCTATAAAAGGCAGGATGTGTGTGTGTGTGTGTGTGTGTGTGTGTGTGTGTGTGTGTGTGTGTGCGTGCGTGTGCGTGTGTGTGTGTAACGAATGCACGCCCGCAATTTTCGACGGATTCGCACCAAAATTTACATGCACATGCTCCAAGTTAGCGGAAAGGCCAAGACCGACTTTTCATTTCCCAACTCCCATCGATAGTGGAAATAATCGATTTTTTCATGCTTCTACGGCAGTTTTCATGTAGTTTGCGGCCATTTTCTACTGGCCAGAGTGAGTGGCTGCCACGAATAGAGACAGAGAGAACAAGAAAAAAAAATAGAACACCTTTAAACACAAGACTAATAGTGGGACAAAACGTATGAAGTGACTGGGTAACGATTTTAACTTTCTTTTGTATCACATGACCATCTTGTCTTTTCCGTCTGCATCAGTGTGTCGTAAAATAAACAGCGCGTTCTGTCCTTTGTCCTGTCATCTTAATTCTATATTCTTTAATTATCAGTACCCCGAGTAATCATAGACAAAAAATGACACCAGCATATACTGTTCATTTTTCACGGCTAATCAGAGGCCATTTTGGTCACCATCTGATTTACTAAGATGGCGCCCTTAAATGAAGAAACGCCAAGACAGTACGGCTTTTAAAGACGCCATCTTAGTTCGACGCATGTAGCTCATCGCTTCGCCGTTCAGGACGAGAAATCGTCGAACGGTGTTCAAATTCTGTCGGTGTTCACTTTTTTTTTTTTAATGCATTCAACCCAAATAAGACGATAATGCCACTAAGATGCAAGGTGGGGGCGCTGCTGCGAGTGAAAGAAAATGGAATGTCAGAAACTGGAAATCCAGTCCTAAACAGGAAAAAAAAATAAAAGGTGAGTAGTTTCGACCCGGACGACAGGCGACAACTACTCTTAGGAATAGTATAAATACATTTCTCCACCGTACACACCAGCAATACACACCAGCAACGGGTTAAATAACTTTGGTTGGCAAACCTCCTTAGGGATGGAAAGCACTGAATTCAATTTGGAATTCGGTATTGGGAGTGGGACTGGCAAATCGACCCCCATAAAGAACCCACAGCAGCATCACCGCGCGTTGTGAAGCTGTGGCTCTATCGTGGTAAGGTTGTAGCTCTATGCTCCACAGAGGAGTTTAATGAAGCCAAAAAATGACGGAAAGAGAGAAAGTAATGGACGCTGTAATTATAAACAATAAATATATATAGCAGAAGAGAATTTCACAAGAAAAATTAGTGGAAAAAAGGGATTAGGAGAGATAGCTAACAGACGAACATTTAATCGCCTACATCATGAAGGGAGACAACGCATAGAAGAAGATCGAGCTTGGGTACATGGTTGACAGAACAGAAATTAGGAGAGATAGCTAAAAGACAAACATTTACTATGAGCTACAAAGGGTAGGAAACTGTGGAGAGCCATAATCGCCTACATCATGAAGGAATACAACACAGAAGTGGAGGAACGAGCTTGGGAAAACGGTTGGCGGAACAGAGACTGGGAGAGATAACTAAAAGACATTTATTACGAGCTGCAAAAGCGGGAAATTTTAGAGGGATGTTATCACCCATGTCTTGAAGGAACGTGAAACATCATGCACTGTTACTTTACGCATGGATACTCTAAGGTGAAAATTTGAAATAACTTCTTTTTTTTTTCTTATGGAAGAGTCTTCTTCCAACAGTGCGAAGTTAACAGACCAAGAATGTCTTTATCAAAATATAGACATATGACAAAAAAAAAACAAACGAAGAAAAAAATTAAATGAAAATAGTACCCTACAAAGTTGAAAGGAAGTTAGTATTGCACAACAGTAACCGGTTTATTCCAGATTTTTGCATTCCTAGCTCATGCCTAATATTGATACTAAAATATACTATAATATATATATATATATATATATATATATATATATATATATATATATATATATATATATATATGTGTGTGTGTGTGTGTGTGTGTGTGTGTAGTGTGTGTGTGTATGTATGTGTATATATATATATATATATATATATATTAATAATACTATATGATATAATATATTAATAATACTATAATATAGTCTAATACATTAATAATGCTATAATATGTTTTAATATATATATCTATATTAATAATACTATAAGGTAGTGTAATATAATATATTAATAATACTATAATATAGTTTAATCTATATTAATAATACTAATATATGAAATAATATAATACATTAATAATACTATAGTATTGTATTATATAATATATTAATAATGCCAGGATGATTCCCAATAGCATAATATATATATATATATATATATATATATATATATATATATATATATATATAATATATATATATAATATAATATATAATACTATAATATGCTAAAAGATAATATATTAATAATACTATAATATGCTAGAAGATAATATATTAATAATACTGTAATATAGTATCATATATTAATAATGCTATAATATAGCATAATATAATATATTAATAATACTATAATATACTATAATATATATATTAATAATACTATAATATAGTATAATATGATATATTAATTATACTATAATAATAATAATAATAATAATAATAATAATAATAATAATAATAATAATGGACACTCCCGTCGGTTTCGGCGTATAAGGATCTGGCAGCTTAGTTGATTCAATTATTAAATTTTGTGCGATAAACTTAAGTGGAATTTAAGACCCGCTAGTGATTTACAAAGGAGGCCACCTATGGAGCATGTGTGAGGATTGTGAGATGAGATCACTGTTAGATTGGCTGACCTTTTAGATCTTGCTCTCGCTTCTTGAAGATGATTCAGACAAGCAGATTGAAAACTGCTGAGTCCACTAAAACATGTTGATCTCTATTCTACCCGCTCCAAGGCTAAGCACTCAAGGGTGTTATGTGGTATATTGACAGCTGACAATAAGAACGAATCAAGGTAAACTGCCAGAAAACCCACACAAGTGATTTGATTAAAGTGGTGAAGGCTTGTGTGGAACCATCCACACTTTTTGGAAGTATTGATACTCTCAGTCGGTGCAAATAAATGCTACAGACAAAGCAGACAATATACAGTATAATATAATATATCTATAATACTATAATCATACTTATTATAAAACCCAGGTTGTGTGTGTGTGCGTGTGTGTGCGTGCGTGTGTGTGTGTGTGTGTGTGTGTGTGTGTGTGTGTGTGTGTACGTTTATATATTGGATCGGATTTCCTACATTTTTCAACCGATTTCAACAAAACTTCACAGGACTGCGTAAAATTCCCTTGCGGTGGTTCTGACAGCGCCAAAAATTGGAAAAACACAATTGTTTTTGCACGAAATCAATATGAAAACACGATTAAGATGCATCGCGTGAATGAAAGGGGGACAACTCATATCGAGTTATACTTATTATAAAACCCAGGTTGTCTCTGTGTGTGTGTGCGTGTTCGTTTATATATGGGATCGTATTTCCTACATTTTTCAACTGATTTCAACAAAACTTCAGTTTGGTGGGGCAGGTAGTGTTTCTTATTGTCTTGCACACTTTTTTCTTTATTTTTACATTCAGAATGCTTTAAAAATTCCATTTACAAGACAATTGTTTATAATAAAATTCTATCCAATCGGTAGACTCATAACGATTGAAAACAATGTTTTTGTTTGAGTTTGGGTTTGACCAATTCGTAAAAAAAAAAATGCGTACCCGTCAACCTTAAACAATAATTTTTGTCAATTTTATTTTTCAGTCTTTATGATGGTCGATACTTGATCTATCTCTTACTGTTACATCCCCGGGCAACGCCGTGCTCTACTGCTAGTATACTATAAAATAATATATTAATAATACTATAATTAGTATAATATATTTATTAATATATCGTAATATGATATATTATAATATATTAATAATACTTTAATATCGTATAATATAATACTAAAACCTTTTTTAATACATTCTCACAGACTTAATACCGTTGGAGTTTTAAAACATTATAGCTATGTCATTTAGTTCTTAATTTTGGAAAACAAAGATAAACGTAGCCGTAATAAGACGCAATTTCAAAAGGACGCTTCTTGTGGTGACACCGCTTTTTTAACTACCTCCACTCTTCGCCGGTGTTTTACGGTGTTTCTCTTTGCCGTAAATATTCGTGTTTTATATTCACTTACCTCTATTTAATTCCAACATTTATAGTCGCATATTATACATGGGTACTAAATATAGGGTGACCCAAAAAAACGGGACCATTTTAACAATCCAATAAAACCAAGAGTGATGGAAGAAAAATATTTTATTCATAGTAATTGAAACATTAAAACATACTATTTAAGAAACAATGATGGAATTTTTCATTTTTTTAAAATTACGTCCTGTAGATGGCGTCCTCCTGTACGAATGCATTCTTGAAATCTGTTGTTGTGATTCCTCATTGGCTGCTGCAACATCTCAGCTGGGATACTGTGAATTTCATCTTGAATTCTAAATGGCGAAATGTTTACTTGCTCAAGGTCACTTGTCTCGCAGTGTTGCCACTTGCTCATCTCTGGCAATATGCACTTCAAAAATTCCCGTTTTTTGTTTTTTTTTGTGGGGGTCACCCTGTATTAACTTTATTCCAGCCACACAAATCGACATATTCGGGACGATATTGCAGAAAGTAAACTGCCGTATGTGCACGAATATAGAACAAGATTTTATAATCAGCTTTTTTTATGATGCACATAGGGAGTCGTACTATACACGGGTAGTTTTTCTGAAGAGGTTTTTGATGCATGAACGAAAAGAAAAGTTTGGTGTCTAAATCTACGTATCAGATATTTTAAGATAAGTGCTTCTTTCTCACCATTTTGAGGATAGCTTTGTACAAAAAGAAATATAGGCCATTTATTTGCTACGAAATATGTCCAGGATGATTCCCAATACTGCAGTATTTGAACACGCTATGCAGGTGACTGTTGCAGTTTTTTGTGTATATATGTAACTAGTGAGTTAGCTCAAATGATTTGACTCACTTTATAGTCCACCAATAGAAGGTTAACCAATCAGAAGACGTAGAATATTCAATCCGTCGTGTATAAAGGCGGCCATTTTGTTTACTCTATCCAAATGTCCAGTGCCAGTTTGTCAGGCGAAGAGGAACAGAAGGAAGAACTACGCTCTGCTACTTTACCGGGATATTCACTGCTAACCTGAACAACGCTTTCCTACTGTCTTCGAAATATTCACTGCTAACCTCTGGATTCTATACTCGAAGACGACCGTCATCATGAACAACAGTGACACAGTACTGACAGCAGACATGGAAAAGAAATTACAAAACCTCCTACAGAAGGTAGCGAAGGAGAGCGCGAAGAAAGGACTAAGTATAAATGACAAGAAGGCAGAATGCATGGTCATCAGTAAAAGGATGATCCCGAAATGAGATTGGAATGGTCGGGGACACTAGAATCAAGCAGGTGCAGAAGTTTAAATATCTGGGAAGCGTCTTGACAGAAGACGGTAAGTGCAACACTTAGATCTGTAGACGTATTTGGGATGGCCAAGGGCGCATTCCAAAAGCTGGGCAGTGTACTGCGAGACAGAAGGATTTCTTTGGGAACAAAGAAAAGAGTACTGAGCTATTACGTGACATCTGTCGTCCTTTACGGCAGAGAATGTTGGACGATTTCCTCAAAGATGAAGAAGAGACTCGAGGCGACGAAGATGTGTTTCTACAGAAGGATGATAAGGATGACATGAACCGAGTGTGTGAGCAACAATGAGGTCTTAGAAAGGATGCAAATAAGGAAGAAGCTTATGCTTAACATCAGGAAGAGGCAGATGAAGTTTCTGGGATACGTAATGAGAAAGAAAGGCTTGGAGAATTTGATACTCACAGATCGAATAGAGGGAAAGTGAGACAAGGGGAAGCAACGTATGGCATACCTGGCGGGCTTAAACAAGTGGCAGACAAAACGTGGTCTGGGGGAAGTGTCAGAGGGACGAAACTTATTGAGAGCCACAAGAGACAGGGTGAAGTGGAGAGGCATGATCGCCTACGCCGTGAAAGGACACGGCACGTAAAAAAGAAAGAAAGAAGGACTGGAGACACATTATACACAAAAAAAAAAACAGTTTGAGACAACAAAGCTAGAAATCAACATTTAACGGCATTTTGAAAATCAATGTATGTAGTCAATAGTGTAACGTATAAGTACGTCGCCGCAGTAAAAGTAATAAACAGGATTCATCATAGTTTACTTTCTTTCTGTCATTATTTTTCTATCACTCTCCTTTTTTCTTTCTTTCTCTCTATCTCTCCCTTTCTTTCTCTCTTTTTTCTTTCCCTATCTATCTATCTATCTATCTATCTATCTATCTATCTATCTAGTTCATTGTTTTCAGTATCTCAACCTGTTCCTATCTCTCTATGTCGAACAATTCCTATCTATCTATCTATCTATCTATCTATCTATCTATCTATCTATCTATCTATCTATCTATCTCATTCGCTTCAGTAGCTGTCTCTATTTATCTCTCCCCCTTCTTTCTCTCTCTCCTTTTTTCTCTCTTTTTACATCTTTCTCCTTTGTTCTCCTCCATTCTCTCTCTCACCCTCTCTATCTATCTATGTCATTCACTTTCGTATCTCGACCAGTTCATATCTATCTATCTATCTATCTATCTATCTATCTTAGTCTAATCAATATCTATCTATCTATCTTAGTCTGATCAATATCTATCTAGCTAGCTAGCTATCTATCTTAGTCTGATCAATATCTATCTATCTATATATATATATATATATATATCTTATTCTCTTCAGTATCTGTCTCTATTTCTCTCCTTTTCTCTCTCTCTCTCTTTTCTTTCTTTTTCTCTCTTTCTTTCTACCTCTTTCTCTCCCTCTCACCCCATCTCTCGCTCTCTCTCAATGTTTTCCTCTCAAAAACGATGCCCACTCCCTGAAACACGGATAGTAAAATGTAACTTAAAGAAAATTCTCTGTCGTTCATTTTGACTGTGATGCAGTGTTGGGTGTCAGAGGAATTGCCGAGAGACCACAAAAAGCCAGAAATGAGATGCAACGCAATATCTCTTCCAAGAAGCCACTGTAACTACCAACTTCTTCTAGTGAAGCTTTTGTCCTCACAGTCGAGCGAGCTTGTTTTGTAGCATGGTATCAGTTTATTATTGTCGTTTTTTTTTTTAAGTTACAGACCGCAAATAATGCTGTTTTCATGTTTCAGAAACTGAATATCCCTTAGACTACCTTCGGTTAACGAATGGAATGAATATAGAAATTTATTATCTATTTGTAGATAAACTTACTTGGAATAGTCGTCCCATTTTTTTTTTTATTTAATCAGTGTGTATTGCAAATATTGAACAGCATACTCGAGAAATATTAACAATAAAAATAAAATGTGCTCTCAGGCAAGGTTTGAACCTGCATCCCTCTTTATAGGAGAAACCACCATTTAATCCGTCGGCCTTACGTATGGAGAGAGAATTTATATATATATATATATATATATATATATATATATATATATATATATATATATATATATATATATATATATATATATATATATATATATATATATATATATATATAAATATATGTAAGGTAAATATATAAATATATATATGTATAAGCGCTCAATATCAGAGATAGAGCTAACATCTATCCAACCAAATATATATATATATATATGTGTGTGTGTGTGTGTGTACGTGTGCGTGTGCGTGTGTGTGATAAAATATAGTTTTACGGTTAAAGTGCTCAATATCTGAGGCAGAGCGTATGAAAATTTAAAAGTGGATATTGAAGACAAACACCCAGAGGCGATACTATTTCATGCTAAACGCAATCGTCAGTCCATGTTGGCCTGACGATACAGAATGTCGACTCTGGATATTTGCCTTCCATCTCGACTTTTATATTTATATACACGCAAACACTCTATCACACACACACACACACACACACACACACACACATATATATATATATATATATATATATATATATATATATATACGCAACATCTGGTAAGAATTAGGGAATCATAATACGGTGTATGTTGACCCAGATTTTTAATTCTATCAAATACACAGATATGACAGAAAACAATTTTTGTTTAATAACTTAACATTCTGATTTCACTGAGATATAAATTGAACAAATTAAAGTATTTAATAATGGCGTATTTTTCCAGATGAAGCACAAGAAAACTTATCCCATTACTTTAAATAATTACATTTAAATTGTTTGAGTTGTGTTTCCCGAAGACTAAATGCTCAGCAGTTTAAGAAAAAGTGTTTGAAATCATGTCTCTGATTTGTTTATTCGCTAAGAAGTAAAAAAACAAAAAATTATTTGTAGTGATTATATAATTTATGCCAGTGACTATATAAGTTGCCCGAGTAATTGAGAACAAATTAAAATATAAAGAAATAGCAAACGTATCTATGTAAAAGATTAGTATATATTCAAAAATATTTGCTCACATGTTCAACATAGAAAAAACACTGACGTCAGCCTTGAAGGAACAGCAATGATGCGGCTTTAGAAGCAAGTGTAACCTGAATCGAGTGGTTTGTTTTCATGCCGGCCATTACGTAGAAAAATCACTGACATCAGCATTGAAGAGACAGAAATGATGCGGCTTTAGAAGCGAGTGTAACCTGAATCGAGTGGTTTGTTTTCATGCCGGCCATTACGTAGAAAAATCACTGACATCAGCATTGAAGAGACAGAAATGATGCAGAAGCGAGTGTAACCTGAAGAGACAGAAAATGATGCATCAGCATTGAAGAGACAGAAATGATGCGGCTTTAGGAGTAACCTGAATCGAGTGGTTTGTTTTCATGCCGGCCATCACGTAGAAAAATCACTGACATCAGCATTGAAGAGACAGAAATGATGCGGCTTTAGAAGCGAGTTCGAGTGGTTTGTTTTCATGCCGGCCATCACGTAGAGAAAATCACTGACATCAGCATTGAAGAGACAGAAATGATGCGGCTTTAGAAGCGAGTGTAACCTGAATCGAGTGGTTTGTTTTCATGCCGGCCATCACGTAGAAAAATCACTGACATCAGCATTGAAGAGACAGAAATGATGCGGCTTTAGAAGCAAGTGTAACCTGAATCGAGTGGTTTGTTTTCATGCCGGCCATCACGTAGAAAAATCACTGACATCAGCATCGAAGAGACAGAAATGATGCGGCTTTTTAGAAGCGAGTGTATCCTGAATCGAGTGGTTTTTTTCATGCCGGCCATCACGTAGAAAAAATTACTGACATCAGCATTGAAGAGACAGAAATGATGCGGCTTTAGTAGAATCCCAATCCAGTGGTTTTTCATGCCGGCCATTACGTAGAAAAATCACTGACATCAGCATTGAAGAGACAGAATTGATGTAGCATCAGAAGCGAGTGTAAACCGAATCAAGTGGTCTGTTTTCACGCCGGACATTATGACGACGTAGACGATAGCGACCTTCAAGAAATTCTTGATATTTTCCAGACACCGGTTGCCGATATCTCAGGGGTTTCAAATCGAGAAACCTAGGCGGCTCGACAAGGGCTGATTATCTATATTTCTATTAACTTTTCATATCGAAATCGTTGTTTTTTGTAATCGGTAGATTTATCAATGTTCATATTAATTCATATTTCGATTTATTTCTTCCCAAGTCCTTTCGAATGAGGCCGGAATTAACTAAAAACACTTAGATAAACATACACAAAACACTATCTCGTTCGAAAGTACTTGAGGATAAAATAAAAAGCAAATATGAATGTTCGTAAATTTGCCGATTATATAAAATAACTATTTCGGAAATTTTAAAAAGTTATTAAAAAATTGGATAGTCAGAACCGGTCGATAAAATTCACCCAAAACACACACACACACATATATATATATATATATTTAATTAAGTAATTCAACCTCAACAGAATGCACTGGACGGCCGCTTTGTCCAACATTTGGGACTTATCAGCAGTGCGCATCTACTACCGAGAATTGAAACCCGGACAGCTACGTTATCAGGCACACGGCATACCAACTGTACAAAGGTAGCGACTTAGACTTGATACAGAGGAACTCATCCTAGTTTCCCTTACCCATAGGACTGCGCCCCCACGAGCCACGACTACTATCCCCAGGCCGCTCCATTCAGATCATTAGAAGCCGTTTCAAGTAAGGATATACAAGTGATAGAAATTAGTAAGAGGATTTGAGATAATTATGATTAAGTAATTCATCGAGTCTAGAAGAAACCTCAAGAGAATGCAGAAAGATATATATATATATATATATATATATATATATATATATATATATATATATATATATATAGTTGGATTGATCGTGAGTTTGTGACCTTGGGTTTCACGCTATTTGCGATCGTCAGAGTTTATAGTGTGAAATATCGTGAAACCCAGGGTCAAACTCACATCAATCCAACTAAATATGTTAGCTCTATCACTGATATTGAGCGCTTTCCAATAAGTACCACGTATATATAATATGTGAATAATATATAGAAAAATTTGCATATATATATATATATATATATATATATATATATATATATATATATATATGTGTGTGTGTGTGTGTGTGAATCTAAATTGTCATAAATCAATTACATCTATCGGACATGTAACCCTCTTGAGTTGACGCCTCACGTGTCACTTATGAGAGCAAAGTGCAATAAAAAACAATTTCCAAAAACACTTAAGAAAAATTCTAGTCGAAATAATAGAATTCTATATAAATCAAATTGCCGAAAATATCTTGCTATAATGGAGGCCCCGTATAAACATCTCTCTCTTACTGTCAACCTCGTTTGTTTAACAAATGGTAGTAGCGTGCTGATTTTTTTTTTAATAGAAAGACGCTTACTCGAATTACATCCGCGCTCAACCCACGAAGGCTCAGAATAAACGCCTCTATTAGTATTCAAAACCACACAAAAAATACATCTCAAACAGACAAAACATGAAGAGAAACTAACAACACAAAACCCCTTGAAAATGAACCCAAATTTTGGAACATGGACAGTTTTTTACTACCTCATTCCCACCAAACGGAAAAATGAAAGAACGCTGCCAAAAAATTAATAAAAAAAACGTTTTTTTCCGTCATAAACAAAATGTTTAAAAGACATTGTTTTTAATATATATATATTCCATTTACCAAACGGAAAACGTGGATGAAGAACGCTAAGAAAATGGATAAAGGATATTTTGATAAGAAAAAAAACTTAATTAAAAACTAAATTGGTTAAAGGAATCTTTCGAGCTGTGTTTTCATATTAAGCAAAACCACAGACCGACTAGCCAAAGAAAATGATTGAAAATGTTATTTTGATAATTGACAAAAGGCAAATATAAAATTATATCAAAGCCGCACACGAGGTGGCGACTGACAGTTTTCTTTGACAAGACATCTTTAGCATAATTATGTTATCAGAAAATGTGCAAAGAAAATGGAAAAGGAAAGTTTTTTTTTTCGAGGCGACGGGCGATTGGAAATAGGATAATTAGCGAAATCTGACTGAAAGTCCAGAAACAAGAGTTATGACCACCACCGATCGCATTGTTCTATTTGCAAGAAATGAGAACTGTGGAAAAGAAAAAGATAATTTTTTTTTAAGATATTTTTTCCCCCTGAAACAAAGCCCGATGGATATCATTGGCGACGTGACGCAAGGAGGAAGGTCGCCGCCCACCCAGAGGATGGGTAAAGAGGTTGCTACGAAGAAGTGGATACGCCCTCTGAAGTATGGTGAGAGAAGGTGGGAGTAAGAGAAGGCTCCCCAAATGGAAGAAGTGGAAAATTCTAACCAAAAAATAAAAGAAGTGGATATGTATTTAGAATTATTGAGGAACACCTGGCGCCGACAAACCCACCCCGGTTTTGGTCGGCGTCCATATAAGCGAAGTCGCAGCGAGCGAAAATCAGTTCCAGCAGAGAGTTCCAGCAGAGAGTTCCAGCAGAGAGTTCCAGAGTTGAGTTCGGGAGAGACAGTTCCCAGAGTCAGTCTCCAGTGCTCAGTTGAAGCAAGCCTCGCATCGGCTGACCAAGATTCGCGCAATTTCCGGACTCATCTTCAATCCAAGAACAATTATTTTGAAGAGCGGCTTAGATCCAGACCACCAAAATAAGTTTTTTTTCGACTTTCGCCCGAAGATACACCAAAAAAAAACAATTTCTTAAAGAGCAAACAACTTGAAGTGTTAAAACTCGCCTAACGGAAAACAACCACAATCACAATCCATAGAACGTATCGGGAGATAGACGCAGTCCTATGTATCCAACAGCTAGACATAAAGTTTGTTATCCTTTTCTTTGATACCTTGAACTTTTGAGTTATCATTTTATTTCTTTTATACGTATTTGTGCGATACCACCCCCGCTTGGACCCAACTTGCATTGCGGCCCCAACGACTGATTGATTTCGTCTGCCTAAGATCGATTCACAACGTGGGTAGGCGGACTGGAGATCAACGCAGTTACTTTGGTAACCAGGCGTTGGAAGCGAATTGGGCACGACGAGGCTGATATCGAATCTAACCAGATTCCCATCCGAATCACCAAAAAGTTAGAACGTCACATTTGGGTGCCGCGACCGATACCAAGCCAGTTGGTCGTCACAGGACGAGACAACACGACTGACGCGACAGGCGGACGTCACGTTCGGAGCGGCGACACCCGAACGAAGCAGCGAGGAGCACGCGAAGGCTGTGTTTAGGGACGTCACATAGTTATCCACAGACAGACTGTTTCGCAGCTCATCAGTGCCTCAAGCCGGGATCGAAACCCGACTGATTTGGTATCAGTCGGAGAAACTACCCCTAAGACATTGACGCAAGTCAAGAATGAAGGTGAATTTAAACGTATTTACTTTTAGATTAACAGGTCAGTGACGGGGAGAACTTGATTCGTTTTATCGCAGAGTCTTGCATTAGCAGCAGTAATAGACACTTTTCCTCCCCGAGAGGTGAACCGAAATATTTTTTTCAGAAGCATGTATTTCTTATCATCCAAAGACAAACTGTTTCGCTGTTTCACATCTCATCGTTGTGGCTAAGATGTATTTCAGCAGCAAGCATTATTTCAAATATATATATATATATATATATATATATATATATATATATATATATAATATAGGTAACTATACTCGTTTCGAAAAATCCTCGAATTTTTGATTTGCCAATAATCAAATCAATCTCGAGGGGAAAAAAGGTTTTAAAAAAGAAAGAGCTAGAAACATGAACTTCTGTCGACAAAAAAATCGCACAGATGCAGGTTTAAAGCCCAAAGAAAAAACCCTGATACGAGTAAACAACTAACTAACAAAAAGAGCTCAATACAACCGTAGAGCAGACCTAGATACACCTAGTGAGCCAGACAAACCTACCTTTCTTTCACCTAAAGCGGATCGTCAGGAAAAGCTGGGTAGGTTTGTCTGGCTCACTAGGTATATATATATATATATATATATATATATATATATATATATTATAAATTGATATAGACATTAAAATTGATCTAAAACAATCACAAAAAAGCGAAAAAATTGTTAAGCCGATATTCTTAATTATAAAGTAAGTGTCTCTTCTGGTCGGCTACGACTAAAGGTTTCATAGCAAGGAAACTGTTTGCTGTTATGCCGGTACTATATACTCATCACGGTGAACGCAAAACTTAAAAATATTGGTTTGTCAAACTCTCTGCAGCGGACACAGAAATAACCAATACAGTGGTAATCTCAAGCATTTTCAGGGTTAAAAAATTGCGATTGCAACACCTAAAGTAACGTTTCTTCATATCCAAAAAAGAGGGCCTGAAAAATTTGATACTCCCAGGTGAGATTGAAGATGAGATAGAGAAAAAATTGAGCCCTACACGGACTTTATAAAAAATAAAAAAGTGCTCAACAACTCAGATAAACTTTCAAGCAGCTAGTGATACAGTTTTTAAATAAGTATTACAAATTAACCCACTATGGGACGAAAAAAAGACACAGAAGAGAAAGAAAGATTGTCCAAATGAGAACAAGTTATTATACAAGAAAAAAAAGGTATTCACTAGTAAAAACAGATATTTTCCATTAGGATTAGTAAAAAAATATGTTCACCTTTCTAAAGTGGAATTTTATTCAATAAATAATACCGCTCGCAACATCGAGTACGACCATGATGCAACTTTATAAACGACTGTATGCTCGGATCATGTGGCTCCTGGCCGTGCTGGTCATAACGTCCATAATATCAGCCTTCAACGGGTCCTTGTTACTATCAAACCACTGGTCGATTGTTCTCTTGACGACACACCAGATGCAGTACTCATGGGACTTCCATCAGATGAGATAGGAGATCATTTGGTGGCTGGGGTGATAAGATCGTGAAACTTTTCTGCCAGGAACTGGTAGGCAAAAAAGAAAAATTGAAATTCCATGGAGCAGAATCCTGCTGGGCCACGTAAGGCCTCTCCCGGATCACCTGCACAATCCGGAGCTTGAAGGAGATACCCTTGAGATGAAGTCGAGCAGTGTGGGTTTTATTCCTCATG